CCTTATGTGGTGCTGAGGAATAGAACCCAGGGCCTCATGCATGCAAGGCAAGCGCTCTACCACTGAGCCACCTTCCCAGCCCCTCTCACAGACTTTTCTGCCCAGAAAAGTTTTGAACTGCAATCCTGCAGATCTTAACCTCTTAAGTAACTAGGAACACAGATGTGAGTTACCAAAAAGCTACAGAAGTTGGTGGATACTTTACCATCAACTACACATAAGGTAATCTCCCTCTCTAAATCACTTGAAATAAGTTTTAATTTCACTATCAGAGTGGAGATATTAAAGAGGTACTTTGAATCAGGAAGAGTAATTAGGGTGAACTGTGTTCAGGTTCTTTGTCACTTTTCCTGCACACGGTGACTTGCTTTGTATGATGCTGTGTAAAGAGGCTCTGGCCTTGGTCCAGGATTCAGGGCACAGACTGAGCACTAGTTCTGCTGCTTTGTTATCGCGATCTCAGACTCAGGAACCCACTACTGTCCTCTCCTTTGTTCCTGACAAAACACTCAAAGCAGCCTTCCTTTCTCCAGCTACTTCACACAGTAGGGAATGAGAAAAGTTCCACAGAAACTTGAACATGTCTGGCTTTAAAGATAAGTTACCTATATGCTCTGTTGAGTTCCCAAGATGAGTTCTGCAATATTCAGAATCCCAAAGGTCTGCTCACTGGAAATCTATGCTCATGCCTCTCTCCTTCTCTCCCCTTTCCTCACTTCCCTTGTCTGCTCCTTTCAATCTCCCTCTTTTCCCTTCTCCCATAGTCCAAGATTCCAGCTTTTCCTGATTCCGATTGATTGATTGATTGTGTGTGTGTGTGTGTGTATGTGTACACACAGTGAAAGGGTTAGAACTCAAGGCCTCATGCATGCTAGTCCAGAATTGTGCCATCTCTTGATTTGTACTCCATTTTTAAAAGATAAGGATACTTCTTTATTCTGTTGACTGAAGTGGTAGAGTGCCTGCTTAGCAAACACGAGGTCTCAAGTTCAAACTCCAGAACCAGCAAAAAAAAAAGTTCAAAAGGGTAATTGTCATGTGCACTTCAGATATCCTCAAATTGGAACAATGTGGAGATTTCCGTGGCCCCTGTGCAAGAAGGCACATTGTGGGGGCAGCTATAAACTCACTCTGAATGATAAAATGCTTTTTGCTATTTTCCCAGGCAGAACTGTCAGAAATACACAGCATGATTTCTTTTCTAAGCAGTAATGAGTGTTCCAGAAGCAGCCCAGGGTATCTAGAGTATCCCTGGTCCCCTGCTGGTCCCTGGGCACCCCTGAGAGTCACTGCGTAATAGTCTGATTCCTGGATGGCTTTCACCACTAAATAATGCCTCAGTAACTCCTTTCTTCACCAAGATATTCTTAAGAATGTGAATCATTTAACTCTTCTCACTCAATATTCACCTGTCCCCATTATTAGAACTACCTGGTGTTTCTGACTACCCTGCTCCTCTCTCCCAAGTCTGTCACCTGAATCATTCTGAAGCAGCTAGTAGGGGTTATCCTGATTAGATATGTTCTCTTCACATTTTCATCTGAGAAAATACTAATTTACCCTGTTTAAGTCAAGGCTAAGCTCAAACTTTGCCATCAGTTTGAAAGTCTATAGTATTTGTACATTTTAATTAGAATGTGTTAATGTTTAGCCATGAATTCACCTAGGGCCTTAATGAGAAGAGCTAAAACTTGGAACAAAACTTTCTGCTTGTATTCTTGATAGTGACATGTATGTTGCTATACATGTGTACAATCTAGAAAAATTAAGTCTTCTAAATAGAAGAGCAAAGAGTGGCAGTGGATATGTTCAAAACTCTTAAAAATCTATAAGGTTAATTTTGCAATAGAATCTCAGAGTAAAGAATCCCGCAGTGGTTCTCCAGAAATTTGTAAGTGACTTGGGTTTTGAACTTGAAGTAGTTGGAATCACAACATCCTGTTTAATTTGTAAAGCAACTAAGCTCTAATAATGATAACTGCTTTTCCTGTTTATATTGGCTTTCATTGCTTAGATTGTTTTCACCATAACAAAAGCTGGTGAAACTGTTTTACAAAGCCTGCATGACAAAAGTTGTTATACCTTTCCTTAAAAAAGGAGTAATTTTGCTAATAACTGATAAATAATTTCTGGAAAAATAACCTGCTAAACAAGACATTAGAACAAGAACTCAACACTAACATTAGAACAATTTGTACAGTAGGCTATATTCTAGTAATGTAAGTGGTTCAATTTCATACAAATTCCCCCCATCCCCATTTATCAGTTTCTGAAACAATAGATATGAAGGGAGAATTCTCTAACTTTATGAAATAGATTAATCTCAGTACAAATATAAATAGCAAATTAGTGCAGAAATGATATCTTCTATTTATTAGCACAGTAAGTAATAAATTGAGTTAAATTCAGATAGAAGCTTATTGAAGTTAGACCAAAAAGGATAAAGAACACTAGGAAAAACATATAACAATAAGATTAAAATAATTCATCATTTAGTGGACTGTTGTGCTAAATTATAGCAATCAATTCATGTCTGTGTGTGTGTGTGTGTGTGCGTGCACGCTTGCGCACGTGCACACAAGCATGCCACACACTGGTTTTGGGGCTTAAACTCAGGGCTTCATGTTTTTGCTAGACTTTCTCACTTAAGGCCGGCACTCTACCACGTGAGCTGTTAACTCCACTTCCAGCATTTTGCTTGTTAATAAGAGATAAGAGACTCACAAACTTTTCTTCCCAGGCAAGCTTTGAAACCTCAATCCTCAGATCTAAGCCTTCTGAGTAGTTAGGATTACAGGTGTAACCTGCCAGTACCCAGCTGTAATCACTTATTTGGGCATAATATAACTTCCAATTAGAAGACAAGAAAAGAACATTAGAATGAAAGGAGAAAACCTAAAATACTTTTGAATAAGCTTAACATAAATGTAGACAAGAAAACAAAAATATTCTTGAGAAATATAGAAGAGAGGATTTAATAAAATTCATCATGTTATTGGATATGAAGACACCTTAGAGGTTGTTTCCCTTAAGTTTTTGTCTCTAAAAAATGTAATTTGATCCTAGTTAAAACAAAACAACAAACTAACTGTACAGCTTTTAAAATGAATATATAGTATTTGTAGGGTTTGTGTGGGAAAGCATAAATAACCATAAAGATTCATTTTTACTTTAATTTTTTGTGCCTGTACTGGGGCTTGAACTCGGACCTGGGCACTGTCCCTTAGCTGGTTTGTTCAAGGCTAGTGCTCTACCATTTGAGTCACAGCTCCACTTCTAGTGTTCTGGTAGTTCATTAGAGGTGAGCCTCACAGACTTTTTTTTTTAACCTGTGCTGGCTTCAAACTATGATCCTCAGATCTCATCTCCTGAGTAGGTAGCTAGGATTACAGGCGAGAGCCATCACTGCCCAGCTGGACCGCAGGACCTTTAGTGGCATCCACTGTATAACAGCCTGTGGAATGCCATTCCCCTTCCTCCCTCTGACAACCCAAAATGTCTCTAGACATTGTTTTACTGCTTGCCAGTTCTACCCTGCCTGAATACCACTGATAGAAATTAATCTCTAACATCAACTGACCAGTGAAATCTTTGTCTCTTGGTGCAAAAGAAGAAGAATCCAGTGTCTTCAGTGTCTTTGAGAGTGACTTAATTAACACATGGTAGTAAGAACTAACAAATGGGATTGCATCAAATTAAAAAGCTTCTGCACAACAAAAGAAACAACAGAGTGAAGATAGACTACAGAATGAGAGAAAATCTTTACCAGCTACTCATCCATCCAACAGGGCAGTAATATCCAGAATATATAACGAACTCAAGAAAATTAAACACCAAAACATCAAGTTTACCAACACATTGATTTACCAGTACATGGCATTTTTACAGTTCATTTACTTACATCCACATGTAGGTCACCAGAAGGCTGTGGTTTGCCACAGACCCTTTAACCGCAAACTAGAATGATATCCAGGGGCTAACATTGCCAAAAAGGATGTGGATTTCTGATAGACATTGGAAAGAAAAATACCTACTAAGAAGTTTATACTCAGTGGCATTAGACTGTTCACTGTGGTGCCATTACTGTATTAAAAGATACCTCAGATATGTATGAAAAGTCACTTCTGTCATGAAATCTGTCTTAAGAGGAAGATTACACCATAGGAATATGTTTGTTTTCAAAAATCATATACATGGGGATCATTCCTTATTAGAACTGGCCAAAAACCAACTCCATCAAAAAGCAGAGAATGTTGAGGATCTCATTCCCCTCCATTGCTGACTGACCCAACCCCCACCCCATCTCCCCCAAAACTCTAGGTCCCTCTGAACTCAGACCCTGCCTTGCTTCCTAAAGCTCTGTTAGATGTCTTCCACCATTCCGCTTTCTACTTCAAATCTAGACTGAATCTCTTGCCCCATCTTGCCTGTGTTGCAGGCTTCAGCACTCTTACATTTGTAACGGTCAGGACAGCCCTTGTCCCCATCATTTTGAAGGGAATGTTCTCAAGAAAAGATTATGACCACACCTTGAACAGATCTCCAAATAGGAGTACTCCAGTTCCCCTGCAGACTTTGGATACTTTTGGTTTTGATGTTATGCATTTTCAACTGTTAGCAGAAAATGTGCCTCACTCTACTGCAAGAAATGAGAGTAATGTCATTAATATTGGGAAAGGTAACCATCCACCATCTGTGTGTGAATTTATGAAGGCTGGAAATTATACGAGAGTCCATGTAAAAGTCAACAGCACCAGTGCTAAATGTAAATCCTGGATGACTTTTTTCATTTCCTTAACAGCTAAATTGCAAACTGTCGCATTACCATCCATCCTACAAGAATGAGATGCATCCATCACTTTTACTGAAAAGAGTAAATTCGTTATTTGTTTTCCCATAAAAGAGCAGCCAAGTGTATTTTGCTCAATTTTACAATGATGAACGAAAGCCCCCTCTGTCAATAGCTTTCTGCAAAAGTTCTCATATTTTCTCCCTTTCAGTGTCTGATACAAAAGTAGAGGCAAGTGCCAGGCCCCTCGGCCAGGAGCTAAGTGTGTGAGACCAGCAATGGGAAAGGAAGAAGCTGGAGCTGTCCTTGTCGTCCAGGTAGCTTGAGGCCTCCCCCCCCTCCCGGCTGCCACTGTGCCTCGTGCTGTGTCTTCCTGACCCTGTACAGGTCCCTGGCCCATACAGTACCCTGAGAACAATGGGTCACCTGTGCCACCTGCTTTTTGTACTCCCCTGAGGCCAACTATCCTAGAATCCTGGGCGATCCTCTTCTAGCAGTCCACTGAAATCGAGAACAAGATCCCCCACTTGAGGTCTCCGGACCCCCTAGCTCAGTGCTCTCATGGGTAGCTACCTGAGCAGTTATCTGAGCCCAAGTAAGGACGCCGTGCAGCCCCGGGCCTCTAAAACCCGCTCTCGGAGGCCTAAGCGCGCCCCTCGCAGCACTTTCCTGGCCACCTTCCAGGGTACCTACCTAGGCAAGTACCTAAGCAGCTACCTGCGCACACGCAAGGCCATGCTGCAGCCCTCAGCCCAGAAGCACAACTCTGTGAAGCTCAGCCCCGCCCGCCGTGGGGAGCTCATCAGCAACTACCTGGACAGGTGCCTGAGCACCTACCTGGCTACACGCAAGACCACCATGCGGCCCTTCATCCAGAAGTATCACTCTCTGAGGCCTAAGCGCCTATGTCGCAATGCAATCATGAATAGCTCCGTAGGCATTTACCTGGACAGGTGCCTGAGTACCTACCTGGCTACACGCAAAGCCACCGTTCAACGCTTTGTCCAGAAGCACCATTCTGTGAGGCCCGTGAATGCCCACAGGTACACAGGTCTCAGGGTGCGCACCCCAAGTGTGCTGCCTGACCCTGACCGCAACAGAGGCCCAAGGGCGCTCGCCACACCTGCTCCAAGCCGCTTTCCTCGCAAGCTGTCTCTGTGGCTCCCAGTGAGGCCCGACTATCCTGGTGGCGAATACAACCATTACCTGAAGCACAGGATTTGGTCTCCTCAAGTTTCTTCACCGGGCACAGAGCCCGATGAGAGGCCAGATCCATCTCCGAGTGTGTCACATCAGCCACCCTCCCCACAAGGAGAGGCTGGATGCCAGTTCCAAGGAGAGCCAATGCAACAGGGCACAAGGAAGTTGAACAACCCTCCTTGGTTTGAGGTTCTACACCCCAAGAGAAGTGGGCAGAGTCCTGCACCTCGACCATCTGCCTTCACACCTGTCATCAGACAAGGAGTGGCCCAACCCTTTAGGCCCAGGCCAGGGCCACTGAATAGAAATATCGATGCCACCAGGATGACGGAGAGGGAGAGCTGTAGCTTTCCATCAGCCTGCCCGGCCTGCTGCCCAACCTGCTCAGGACTGGGTTTCATAGCCTCAGCTGGAGAATTGCAAGCGAATACTGAGCCTTCCACCAGCCACCAAGACTCCTGACCGTCCCAGCAGCCCATTGGGACCATTTGCCCCAGAGCATATCCACCCTGCTGGTCCCTTGGCTCCTCAGAGGCAGGGCCCTGCCTCCTGAAGCCACAGCCTTTGCACCCCACTTACCCCTGCTCTACCCCCACAGAAGTCAGAGACTTCCCATCCCTTCAGTTGATAAGTCTGCCACTCCCAGATCACCCCTCCTTACTCTGCAGAGCCCACAGTTAAGAGACTTGCCAGGCCTCTCCCCTGCCAACCCAGACTTAGATAGGTGGGCTCCCCGCAAAGGGCCCAGTTTGTGTAGCTAAATATTTGATCATATTTTATATAATAATAGTAATAATAATAAAGACAGGAAGTTTCATTACCCTAGACAACGCCTTATTTTTTCTTGCAAACACTAGTCTACATCATGATTTCGCCAGTTGGCGCTGTTGACATTTGGGACCAGAACATTTTTCGTGGTTGGAGCCTTTTCTGAGCAGTAGAAGGCATAAGCAGCATTCTTGGCCTCTGACCAGTGGATGCTAATAGCACAACCCCAGTTGTAACTATTAATAGTGTCTCCAGACATTGCAGATATATCCCCATAGTACAACATCACCCTTTGATGATTACCACTGAACTAGAGCTACATCCACTTACAAAAGAAACAGAAGCGAAATCTTAAAAATACACTTTTGAAGGAAAAGATTACAAACGTGTAGCGCAATGCCCTTTCTACAAAATATTATTTAATAAAATTATTTAATTCATATCTATATTTTATACCTACATTTATATACTACTAGAATTGTTCTGACATGTATTTTCAATTAAATATAAATTAATAAAGTTAACTGAAATTATTTTGAAATAACTGATGTCCGTACTGGCAATATTTTACTAAGTTCAATACAATTAATATTATTTCTTTATATAAACTATATGAAAACAAATATAAAAGTGTTTCTGGCGTAACAGAAAGCCAACAGCCAGGTATAGGGTCGTTTCATACTTTGTTACATCTACAATCTCTGTGTATATTGTTCAAACATAATTTTCATGGTTTTTTTTTGTCCATTAGGGAGTGAGGATATAGCTGTTCAACAAAGTAAAGTCCCTTTTCTCATGGTACTTGCTTTCAAACAGGGTGGAGACTGACGATAAGTAATTAAATAAATACGCTGGGGAGACGGGAATGCCAAGTGCTGTAAAAGAAAAAGTAGGCCTGGGAGTGTAGCTCAGTAGTAGAATGCTTGCCTAGCATATCTGAAGCTGGAGGTTCCATCCCTGAACTAGGAAAACAAACACCTATCTTCAAGATACAGCATTGCAGTGTAAATGAAGCGTAAGAAGCCGCTTGGACTGGACTGCATTGGTGGAAGTACTTTGGGCATTATAAATGGGACTCTCCTGAGCCTTGGACCACATTGTTTGTCTCTTTGGTCTGCCCTCTAAATGCTATACCTCATTCCAGTCGTGGATAAAGCTCTCTCCGTTGTTACATGTTCCCTGGGCATAGTCAGGCCCGTGTAAGAAAACCTTGTACCTCTTTTGTTTGTTTTCAAACTTCTTACCAAAAAATGTGTGTTTTACAATCACATATTTTGTGACTCTAAATAAGAGCTGATGATCATACGTTTATTTTGGCTTTGTATTTCTTTTTTTAATTAGTTTAACTGTATAGCTTTATAGACTTTTCAAAACAATTCATTCTTGGAAATATTGTCTTGTTTATTCAATGTATGTTTTTGTGAACATTCATCCCAAAGTTCCTTTCCACAAGACTTATATTTCACTTGTCAATTAATTAAAATAAAAATGATACAATAATGTTATTATACTTCTTCCTCTTCCCTGGGGGTAAGAACCTAAAGATTTCTTTCTAACCAATTCTGTTTGGAAAAGGAAATGGACAAGTTGCCATCCTATCCAAGAGATCAACGTGAACATGCAGTGATGTCTGGTGCATATAATGACCCCTGACACCTGTACACTGAAGTTTTCCAAAGAAGCCACATTTATAGTCAAGAACTTTCAGATTATTTCACCTTTGCTGATTGGAACATTGTGAACTTGTGAAGAAATAGAATGACAGATCAAGAACCATAAGATATATTGGGCAAACTTTAGTACCTTCTTTGGCCACACACAAACCTTTTTTGAGACAGGGTCTCAATGGTTAGCTGAGGCTGACCTGGAACTTGCCTCAGCTTCCAGAGTGTTGGCATTATAATTGTGTGCCAACACACACTTTAGTCCCTGATTTTGGTGATATTTGGGGCTGCTGGGGGGGGGTGTTGAGGTCAGGTCCTCACACTTTCTAGGCTAGCACAACACTGTGTTTCCAGCCCTGTTTTTCACCAGTTATTTTAGGATCGAGTCTTACTTCACAACCAGTGTCCACCTGAGCTATTCCCTACTTTAGGCTTTCGGTCATCTCTGGGTTCACGTAAACAGCTTCCCTTCCATGGAGACAGTCTGACAGATTTTTCTGCTCAGGCTGTCAGGTACAGTGATCCTAAATTTGAACATTTTGTGTAGCTTGGAATGGTAGACATGTACTCCTACATCCAGCAATGAATCCAGAACTTTTCTGCCTGTGTAGTCTCCAAGCTGCCTCTTCCTGTTTTTAGCATCATAAGCAGCTAAGATGACAGATGTGAGTCAATACCTAGAAGAGTCAGGAAAGCCCACAAGGTACCATCTCAATGGAGGGAAGCTGCACAGTGTTGTGTACCTGTGATCCCAGCAATCATGCCTATATTTCCATGCTCTGAGAATAGACACAAGACATGGGACAAAGGGCTTCTAGATTTCATGTGGCTTATTCAAAGTCTTTGTTTAAAGGGGGGTGGGTCACTCTAATCCCTGCTGTGATTTGAACTTAATGGTCTCTGAACAAAGAGCACCCTCTTTAATTTTATCACTTGCTAATCAGCTGCAGGATCATCAGGAAGACCATCATACTGTTTGTCCACCTGCAAGACAGAAGAGTTCTCTGGCCCTGGGACGTGAGGACAAGGTACAAGTCTGTCCTGTGCTGTGAGCTCCCGAACGGTAGCCCATTGGCACTCAGTGATTGTGAATGAATGAATGGAAGAAATAAGGCTAACATTCTATTGTTTATAAAAAGTTTTCTCTGAAATAGCTCATGAGAATCCAGTTGAACAGAGGCTACAGTAAGAAACGTGAGACGGAAGAAAGAAAAAGTACTAACAGTTCCCTTACCCAGGAACAAATATTTAGACTAATTATAGCACAAAACCAAAGAAACCTGAATATACTGTAGAGACAGATAGATATGGGGAAAGGAAAATGGTATTACAAAAGGAAGTAACATGAAGAATTATTGTAAAGGTTTAGTAGTTTAATTAAGGAATCAGAGGATACCAACTGGCTTCCTTCTATTTATAGACTGTGTACAACTAGTGTGACTTCCTGATCTTCCAGATGAATCTTCCTAAGATTTGCACAAAACATGTTTTGGTGTAACAAATTCCAATGCTGTTAGCACAATTAAATTTCTACAATTCCAAGATGTTTAATGGCTTCTTGAAATCACTAGTTAAGAAATAAAATGGTTCCTTCTCACTGCTTGCGTGTTAGAAGCCCTAGTCTGATGCTAATTTTTAAGCAGTTCTGCTGCCGTTTCTCTTCAATGGAGCCAGATGTGCCAGTGGTTTCTCGGAAGTGTAAGAATCCAGCCGTTGGTTCTGGAGATCAGGATTCAATGGTGGAAGCTGGATTGCTGTTTAATAGGCACAAGGCCATTAATCCCCTGTGCACAGATGAGCATGTTACTCCTTTTAGATCTCAAAATTCATCCTTAAATAAGCAGAGTAAAAGTCCCATCACCTGTCCATCACCATCTAAATGAGAAAGATTGAAAGAGATAGGGTTACATACACTTCTCTTTAGCAGAAAGTAGTCAATTATCTGATGCCAATGTATGAATCAACTGGATAGATAAATTACCCACTTTGCTGGGAAATAGATGCAACTTTAGATTCTAGAGTCTGTAGAAACTACTTTCAAGGTTTCTAAAATTCCTTTGTAGTCACTGTTGTAGATTTGATGTATTTCTGTAAATACTTGAAAGCACCTTGTTTCTGTGTTTAATCCAAGTCCTAAAAATCTCCAGTAGCGCGACCTATAAAAACCAGAGCTTTCTAAAAGAAATTGAATGCTGTTGAAAAAGATTAATTGCATCTCTGAAAATAAAGGAAGAGAACCTGTTGAGGATGCTATTTGAGGGAATATGGGGGCAGGGAGTATGGTAGAAAGGGTGAGATTGATTGGAATACAGTATAGATGTGTGCCATATAACAGTGAAATATCTGCCACCTTGTATAATATAAGCTAATAGAAAGATCCTTCTATCCATCAAGTTTTCTCATTCATCTTGTGTTCTACTTCTAAGAAAAATGAACAGATTACAGCAAGATCATTTGATGCCATGAGGTACAGCTGGGTGCAATACTGCATGGCTGCATTTCCAGTTTCTTGGGAGGTTGAAGTGGGAGGATCACATGAGCCCAGGAGTTCAGGACCAGCCTGAGTAGCATAGAAAGATTCCATATCACACACAAATAAATGCATTTATTGATAATTTCAAGGAAATTTCATATTTAGAATGTATAATTTCTACCTACACTCATTTCTTCGGTCTGAGTCCTGTGAAGTCACATGAATCTCTACCCTTAAGAGGTTGGTGTAATACTCAAAATTCTTGATCAGTTTTGAACAAGAAGTTCCCCATTTGCATCTTGCACTGGGCTATGTAAACTAAAAAGCTTATTCCATTTCTACAAAGAGAATCAAAATGAGAATTCCATACTGTTCAATAATATACTATATATTTGAGGTTTTTTTCTGTATCCTTCAAAGTGTCTCACACCACAAATTTCACTCAGTAGTAAAATTGATGGATGGTTAGCTTTTAGTGGAATAAAAAGTTCAGTGCACTCTAAGGAATGTGTCATTATAGCCTAAAATTTCAAAGACAAGCTAGGTGCCAGTGGCGTACACCTATAATCCTAGCTACTCAGGAGGCTGAGATCTGAGGATCATGGTTCAAAGCCATTCCAGGCAGAAAAGTCCGTGAGACTCACCTCCAATGAACCACCCCCAAAAAGACAGAAGTGGTGGTGTGGCTCAAGTGGTAGAGCTCTAGCCTTGAGGACAAAGAGGCTAAAGGACAACACCCAGCCCCTGAGTTCAAGCCCCAGGACTGGCAAAATATTCAAATACACAAAGTAATTTGTTGTTGAAATTATTTTTACGTCCTATTCCCTTGCAAGCCACACTGAGTTCCTTTAGGATCAGAAACTGTGGTATTCTGTAGTGGTCAACAAGACTTTCTGAAAGGGCCAGATGGTAACAATGGCAGCCACTAAAAAGCATGTGCCATCTGCATTTCTAGGAAAGTAGACAGGAAACACTAGCTACATAAATTTCTAAAACAGTATTTCAATAAAAAACTCATATGGGACTAAAATTGGAAATTCAGGTAACAAGTATCACAAGCCTTTTTAATTTTCAAATCATTTAAAATCTATTAACTTGTTATCTTAGGATCCATATAAAAGCAGGCATCAGATTGGATTTGGCCATCACGCTGAGATTTGCTGGCTCCTGGTCCTGAATGTCACTTCGCTCCAGAGGCTGACTGTGTAGCCGAGAATGAACGAAGATGGTTATGTTCACTCACACCATTGCCTTTGGCTGCCCTGACAGCTCTCTCTGCCTTACCTCCTGATGGCATCTGGAACATGTGGTGGAACCTGCCTGTCACTTCCGGCCACTACATCATCCAGGCCAGTCGAATACACTGCCCTCCTCCCTCCAACATGCAGCTGTTCTGCCCAAATGGATACTGAGTGGCAGCCCTTTGCCCTCTGTCCTGCATGCCTACCCTCCCCCATGCTCATTCTCCCCCATTTATAGGCGGGAGAAGGAGTTGGGGTTCAGACAGATAAGAAAGGCCTGGCCTTGCCTTGGCCAGAGCCTTCTGTGGTTGCCACTTGCTTTTAGTGGTCCTGGGTGGCAGGCACCCAGATGCTTTGCATTCAGAGTGCTCCTGTGGAACCTTTGGAGACCCCTCCAGGTACCTCTAGCCTGTGTCATCTTCCATGCTCCCTAGGCTCTGCCTCCAGCAGTACAGCTCCAACCTTGCTCTACTACCCAGCTTGCCCTGTGATTAGTTCTCAGCCAAACAGGCAGCAACTCCGTATCTGTGAGTTGAGGAGCATCCAGCCATGTTGCTCTGTCTTAAGTCTTACAACTCCACCTTCCATGAACAGCTCCAACTTGATATTCTTTTTCTTCAACAATCAAGGTTGTGCTGCAGGTATTTGCCATCTATAAAGGCATCCTCAGGAGACAAATGAGCTCTGTATGATTGGTGAAGACTAAATTTAATTGGTGGATCTCTCAATTAGGACCACATCAAAAGTTAGAGGAAATCTGGTGCCCATGGCTCACCCCTGTAATCCTAGCCTCTCAGGAAGCTGAGTTCTGAGGGCCATGGTTCAAAGCCAGTCTGGGCAGGAAAGTCCATGAGACTCATCTAATCAACAGAAAAAAAAGGGTCAGAAGTAGAGCTGTGGCTCAGGTGGTAAAGTGCCAGCTTTGAGCAAAAAAGCCAAGGGACAGTTCCCAGTCCCTGAGTTTAAGCCTCAGTACTGGCACACACAAAAATATTCAAAACAAATATAAGGTACTGGGAATTGGGACTTCCACATACAAACTGCAAGGGGACACATTTCAGATCACAACATGCACCCTTTAGAATGTACCTTGCCCATATTGCCACCCAAAGACCTCTGAAAGATTT